TGCTTAATTCCCCCCCCCCCATGATCCATTGCCAGGGTATACTCTGCCACTGGTTTTGCAGAGATACAGAAACTCTCAAAGGTTTGATAACTCACTGCTTTTAGCAGTGTCAACATGTGCTTTGTTGGGACTTGGCATAGTTGCTTCCAAAGTGGTTGAATCTTGTCAGTGAATTTCTATTTCCCTGAAGCAACCGTGCACTTAGCTAAAGTTGGTCAAGACTTTTGGCGATCTTTGGTTTGAGATCCCAACTATCTTTGTGAACGTATTCTTGCAAGGAAAAAAATCATTGTCAATCAGACAGGCTTTAGTAGACATTTGGGAATTCCTAAGTACGAGCTCAAGAATTGAGGGCAAAGGCATTTGGCCAGGTTGAGATTATTACTCAATTGAAAACTGAAAGGCAGGCTAGTGTAGCCATGATTTGAACAAAAGTAGGATGGTCTTAAGTGCTCAAAGTGTCTTGTGCATATTTGTTTGCAATCCTATAACCATTCTATTAAAAAAGCAAGTAATCTAAATAGGAAGACATTTTGTGAAAAAAAACCTAGTAGAATGATGAGAGAGCAAAATTAGGATTATCTCATATCTGATTAATGTTTCTCAGTTTTCATGTTTCTTCCCTCTTTGGAAAGATATTAGTGGAACTGCCACTTGTTTATCAGTTAATTTAATCTGTCAAGGGATTTATTTCTTCTTTGATAAGTGCAAGCCAAGTTCCCACAAACCTGCATCTGTCCTCTTTGCCTCTAAAGCATATTTGAATTTCAGAATGGTTAATACCTCACAATCTTGTTGATATAAATACAACTTAGTCAGGCTAGAGACCCAGGCTGATGTTCCTCTGAAATCTCCAAAATAGTCTACAATGAAATGCAAAATAGAAAATGCAAGAAGCTTACTCCTTAGAAAAAATATGTGGGAGTATTGAGAACTATCCTGTTCTTAGTTGGTTATATGAGAACATGCAGGATGTTAAATTCCAAAACATTTTTCCAGCGTAACTTTTGTTGAGAATTTGTTTCCTCATCTTAAAAAAGAAGTTACGTATAAGCTCTTACTCAAAGATGTGAGAGCCTTTTGTATATTGAAATTTCCTTGACTGATAAAATCCAGCGTTCTCATTTAGTTTCCCATGTTTCTTCGTTTGCAGGTGGAACCCCTTTCTCTCCCTTTTAAAGCTAATGTCTCATAGTGTTGACCCTTATCATTTCTTCCAGGGGTGAGAGAGACACTACATCTTTCTAAGTAGGGCTCATATTTATACCAGTGTGTACTGACTGTGGAAGAAGTCCTTGTTTCTGTATGTGAATGGGGAAAGAAACAAGTGCTCTATTGTATTGATTAAAAACTAGCTTAAAAACAAATGAGTCCTGTATCATTGTATCTCCTATTCTGGATTATTAGTGCCTTTTTGGACAGTAGACTGTTCTGTAATTAAATTGTAGTATAACTGCTTTTTTGTACAGTTTTGTTTTAATAAACTTTTTTTAATTTGTGTTTATTTTAGTATTGTACCTACTAGAAAATTAAAATGTATAACTGAAAAAAACCTGCTTCAATGTCCTTTTTCCCCCCCAAGAAGCTCTGCTTTTGGAAAATGTTTTATACAAGGTAAAACACAAAGTCACATCAAAAAGATTTTCTTCTAGCTAGAACCTGGTCGGCCACCTCTTTGGCAGATTACATGGGTCTACAGTATTCAGTTAGTTGTTTGTTTATTATAAGGTTTTATATATCAATCATGTCTATAGGACCCATATCAAAAAAGACAAGACTGCCATATAATGGGGAGCCCAAACATGGGATAGACAGGATTTCAACAATTTGCAGAAGGTGAGGAGGTACTTGTAAACTTTAGTTGCTTTAAGAACATCTATAGCCAGCCTTCTCTATTCTAGTCCCATAGCCAGAAGTCACGGCTAGCCCCGAGATTCTGCTTGCAGGTTGTTAGAAGCTGCCCTGGATTCACCATACAAAAAGAAGTGTGCAAACATGTAGGAAAGCTACTTTATATTGTATGAGAGTTGCTCCATCTAGTCAGCAGTAAAGTATTTATGGAGAACTGCAGAACTGAGCATTAGATCCCCTGTGTTGTGAGATATTACAGTGATGTTTATTATACGGTTACTCTCAGCAAATGCAACTGGTTTATAAACTTTAAAGAGATATGTTCAGTAGTTTGACAAAACGTAGGACCAAGTCAGTGGTGAGATTCAAATATGTGAACAACCGTTCTCTGTGTGGACGCCACTTCCGGAAGTCCATTCTGCGCCTGGGCAACAAAAAATTAGCTACCGGTTCTGCCAAAGTGGTGCGAACTGGCTGAATCCCACCACTGGACCAAGTAGAGGGGAAACCAAATGTTACCCCCTGAAAGAGATTTTTAAAAATAATTTCAGTATGGAATTGATGCTATTTTAACATAACGATGGAATTGGTCCCTAAGACTTGCTATGTAGCTAGGACTGGGAAAAACTGCAATACTATTTTTTATATAAAGAAGATGGGAGTGGAGAAGTGATATAGGGTGGAAATCCTGGAAATGTCAGGCTATTTTTACATACATACATACCTACATATTGAAAATCATGTTTGAATGAACAATTAGGCATAATGAAAGAAACAACTCACTAAAGAATTAGTTTGAGTCCCGCAGAGACAAGTTCTTGCAAATTGTCTGAATATTAACTAGCTTAGAAGTGGAAATACAAACTTCCTTGATTTTTGACAATGTTCCAGATCATTAATTAAACTTAATTTAGGAATCATAGGATGAGAGAGGAGAACCTCTAAACCTTCAGCACCCGTTTACTCCTTTTAGCTTACTGAACATAGCTCTCAAAAGTAAGCAAAGCAAACTGACATTGTACTTATTTTTAGTATATATGTTAGTGAAGGGGTTAAAGCTTTTGTCAGATTAATGGAACAACACATGAGCTTTAAAGAAATGTATTAAGTACTGAAAGTTGGCGAGAAGTCCTAACTTAGAACGCACAACAGGGCATGAGCAACCAGTGATTCATCAGGACATCGTTAGGATTTTGATGTGGCAATTGTCAGGCAAAAAAACAACCCGATCTTGACTTTAGGGAAGGAAATTAATCTGCTAATACCAGGCTTACATTATTTGTTATATGTATCCCACCTTTATTATTTTTGTAAGGCAACAAATATACATTACTCCTATTTTCCCCACAATATTCCTCTGAAGTGAGTTGGACTGGGAGTGATTGGCCAAAATCACTCAGCCGGCTTTCATGCCTAAACTAACACTAGAAGTGAATCTCCTGGTTTCTAGCTTTGGTGCCTTAGAAACCACTTTAAAAAGCTTTAGTAAGACCACGCTTGGAATAATGCATCTAATTCTGGGCACCACAATATAAAAAAGATGAGACTGGAAAGAGTGCAGAAAAGAGCAATAAGGATGATTAGGGGACTGGAGATTAAAACTTATGAAGAACGGTTGCAGGAATTGAGTATGTCTAGTCTAGTGAAAAGAAGGACTGGGACAACATGATAGCAGTGCTCCAATATTTGAGGGGCTACCACAAAGATGAGAGGGTCAACCTATTTTCCAAAGCACCAGAAGGCAAAACAAGAAACAATGGATGGAAACAAAGCAAGGAGATAAGCAACAAAGAACTAAGGAGAAATTTCCTAATAGTGAGAACTTGTGGGTGACCCATCGCTGGAGGCTTTTAAGAAGAAACTGGACAGCCACTTAACTGAAATGGTATAGGGCAGTGGTGGCGAACCTATGGCACGGGTGCCAGAGGCGGCACTCAGAGCCCTCTCTGTGGGCACGCGCGCCGTCGCCCCAGTCCTAGGCCTTCAGCTGGGTTTTATAAAACCTTTTCGCTTTAGGCCTCCGCCGCCATGTGCAAAAAAAAAAGGTTCAATCAATCAGTCAATTTCAACTTCTCGCGGGAAAAAATAAGATCTTGCAAAGTTGGAATTGATTGATTGAACTTTTTAGTCCCACCCAGTCTGCCGTTACCACCGCAGCCATGCCCACACAATTGGCCACACCCACCCATCTGGCCACACCCACCCAATTGGCCACGCCCACCTGGCACCCGACGATGCATGAGTGGGTTTTAGGTTGTAGTTTGGGCACTCGGTCTCTAAAAGGTTTGCCATCACTGGTATAGGGTCTCCTGATTAAGCAGGAGGGTAGACTACAGTAGATGACCTCCAAGGTCCCTTCCAATTCTGTTATTCTATTCTAACCACTAAACAGCAATGCCAACTGTGACTGGAGCAAACTTCATTAAGAAAACCATATTTGCAAAGAATGGAGGGTTATTTAGCTTACAAAAAAGGCAAAAGAAGTTACAGACTTAGGGGGAAAATTTGTAGTGTGATGCACACAGGTTTGTATGTATAGCTGTAGAAATATATAGGTATAGCTGTAAGTTATTTTAACCCAAGCTATGTTCAGTCCAGCAGAACAAGTATTTCTTTTAGAAAGACATTATATACAGTTTGTATATAATTAGAAAATGGCTGGGAATCTGATTAGTAAAATCTAAAATTAATTTAAAGAAAAATAATATACGAAAAGCACAATTCCATAGCACCCCAGCTCAATCTGGCATGATGAGCGAATTTAGTTTCATCAACATGGCTTTTATCTTGAAAAATATAAACAATAGAATTATAATTTTATCTATCTTGCATTATTGGGTAGATTTTTAATCCCTCATAGGAAAGAAAAATGTAAAAAATGTAAGCAGTTTTAGTTGAGAACCCTAAGATAGCATAGTTACATGTATAGATATGTGAATAGGGCCTATGCAAAGAACAATAGTGCAAAATCTGTTCACTTTATAGAATACATGCAGGACAATATAATTGCATTTCTCTTTTAAGCAAGGAGAAACCTGGATTATGTGTATTGTATGAATCTTTCATTCCAATCTACTTAAACCAACAATTCTGCATCAATCGACTAAGAAAAGAAGGGGGGGAAAGAGGAACAAGGCTTGACAGAAGGAAAGTATTTTATTTAGATAACATTTGTCACAGATATGGTACAATATTACAAGTTTAGTATATAATACAAGAGAGACCATTACAAACTTTACACTTCATTACAAGAATCTTTGGATTTTAGCATCTTTTAAAAAGGTACAAGCAACAATATTTCTGAAAACCAGTCTCAACATTTGTTCTTTATATACAGGCTCCCAACATTTACAAAATGACAAATTAACAGAAAAGACAATTGAGAAACAGCTCCTCAAAAACAGGAAGTTAGTGTCCAGGCAATGAAATGCTTTGGGTAGCCTAGTGGGTAGAGTTGCTTGGAAGGTGAACTTGCTCTCTAAATACAAGCTCATCTTCTTTTTGTAGGTCTTTCAGGATACCTTACCTGTGAACTTTAATTAGACCAGGGGTCCTCAACCTTGGCCACTTTAAGACTTGTGGACTTCAACTCCCAGAATTCTTCATCCAGCTTTGCTGGCTCAGGAATTCTGGGAATTGAAGTCCACAAGTCTTAAAGTGGCCAAGGTTGAGGACCCCTGAGTTAGATGAACAGTAATGACAGTCATGAGAGGTCCTGCAAATACTGTCATGCTGAATAGAGTTCCATGTGGCTTTTGGCCTCAGTAAAAATGTCTTTCAAATGCTGATACAAATTATTATTAGTTTATCCCACTTTTCTGCCCAAAAGAAAGGCATTGTGACAGTGAAAAGGAATGAAGAACCGTAAAGAGATGTTGCATCTGCCATGAAGAATCTTTTCTCTCAATTTTCAAGCAGAGCCTACAGACAGGATTATGCCTTAGAATCATACAGGATGCTACATTCCACTGAGTGCCAATTGTCATTATTAAACACTGCCTAGCATGTAACAGTGCCAGATCAATGGATGCAATACATTAATCGGCAGCAATCCAGATTATGAAAAATGTGTGCTAATATAAAAGGAAGACTTATGTAAAAGAGAATTATATAATTTTTATATTGATTAATTTAAATTTCATTTTGCCTTGAAGTAAGTGACAAGCAGCCTGTTCGATAAAGATCTGATAGAGGGTTTCCATTGGCACCCAGTGAACTTTGGGGCTAAATGAGAATTTGAATTTGGATCCTAAGAATATTTAAGTGACAATTCCATATTATCTCAACATAAGATTTTTGTATATTGTCAGGGCAATTTCCAAACAGAGCCATTATCCTAGTTTCACTAGAAGAAACTGTTCCAACTGCATGGCTGACCTACTAATGTTGCTCATCACGTGATATGGTCAATCTCTGCTCTGACATTTTACAGACAGACTGAAATAACATAGCTTCTTTATGAAGACTCTATGGTGCACATGCATATTTTTCAACAATTTCTAGTCTTCAAATCTTTTCCACAAAGGTACAAACTTTAACAAAGGAAGATGATGGCAACCAAAACATACAGAATGGGATACTGAACCATACACATTGAAAAAAACCAAGCTTGCTGTATAGAATCAATTGTCATGCAAAATGAGGGAGGTAGTAGGCACATGGGAAGAATAATGGTCAACAGTTTTGAACTAAGGCACCATGGTGTGGCTTGGTTAAAATGAAACAGCTGTGGCTATTGGAATTACATGCCATTTCTTGCAAAGCAGTGTCACAGATGCCTGTCACAACCGTCATAACATTGTTTTGCTTAAAATTGTTGGATGCAAATCATGTGCAAAAGGAATGCAGTAGTAAATCAATTAGGTAACATTATTTGATTTTTTTTAATGTTTAAGACAGACTTCTTAGTTGCAGAGAAGTCTGGGATGGTGATTTTAGTAGAGCACTTCAAAAAGCTTTTGCTTTAAAAGTTAATGGACGGAAACAAAAGGAATATTCTTTTCTAAGTAGCACTAGCAGCACATCAACAATATTTCAAAACCCATTTGAACAAGGGAATCACCTTTGTTAACACAGCTTCCTGATTACTCAAACTGGGGAAACCTCTTCAGCTTATTCCACCAGTTCCATCCCTGCTCTATTTGCTTTAAAAACAGAAATAGAGCTTAATTCAGAGAAAGGGAAAGAGAAGATTCTCCACCATGATGAATGTAGCATCCACCAATGGGTAATCTCAGCCTTCCTGCTCAGTTGAGACTGAGCAGGAAGGCTGAGATTACCCATCGGTGGATGCTACATCATCATGCTGAGAAAAGGCGTTCAGGTAAGACAACGCCTCATCTCACTATTGGAAAAGAAGGCCCTGTCTTATAAAGTTCACTTTTCCAGTCCAGAAAACCAGTGGGAATCACTTTCTTGTTTCCTCTTTCTTCACTATTTTTTCAAATAATTCTTGAAAGCTAGTTTGCATTATAGATAGTGTGCCTTGATTGCTGAATAAAATACAGATTATGTTGTTGGGGGAAGACGTAGTTTGTAATTCCGCACTGGAGATGGAGAGAGAGTGAGCAGGTAGAAAGATTACAGTGAACCCAAACTTACAAGTATCTAAAGCAGGTTTTTTTCAACCTACATCCCATGGAAGCCTAGAATTTCATGAAAACTTGATAGGGTTATGTGAGAGGCTAAGGGCAAAAAGAAAAAAAAAGATTCACTCACATGCAGCCAGTTTTCTAGCACTTGATAGGGATCCTGGGATTTTTAATTTTTTAAAAAACCAATAGGTTCTACAATGTAGACTGAAAACATTTGAAAATCACTACCCTAAAGAAACTCTAAATTGTCCACAGCCTGTCAATATTTCTTGTGGGGCTAGCTCTGTTTTCCTTTAGGATAAAGTGCATGTAAATGACTTGGAAAAGGCCTGCATATCAAAAAAACAACCCAAAACCGTTTCTGCACTTTTGTCTTTTTTCTTTCTTTTTCTTGTGCATCTTTTCTGCTTTCTATTTTTATTAGTTTATGTTAATTTTTATGTTCTTTGTAAAACTTTTCATAAAAAATTATTTAAAAAATTAAAATACAACAGTAGGCAGTTAATCAGAAAGTAGCCATCCAAGTTGTAATTAAGCAGGACAGTGCTTGACCATTGTTCTAGTGTTTTTCACCCACCCAATAAAACAGTCCTGAAGGAGGGCTGAAATCTAAGAACATTATTAGTGCATTGATATTAACAAGGCTTCGATGTACTTCATCCTGCCTGGATCAGCAGGAAGGTCTTAAGTTTTTTTTTTAAATGATTTTTGTTTTGTTGGAACAAAAGACTGCTTGAAATCATGTAAATGTTCTACTACCATAAAATATTCCAATTCCATATACACAAAGAAAGCAAGAAAATGACGGCTCTCTGGAAACTGCTAAGCTTTGCTGCCAATTTCCTCAATCTCCTTAGCTGCAGCTTTAATTGTAAAACAGTTTTCTTCAGTTAGAAAATCAGATTAGTACAGAAGGAAGTCATTTAAGATGTAATAGTTAGATCAATTTCCTTAAGCTCACCAGTACAAAGAGAGTCTATTAGCAGCGTATGGAAGGAGGATATAAAAATATAGGTCATGAGAATTTATATGCTGCTACGCAAGCCCTTAGATAGTCCAGCAGCATTCCTTCTCAGTGTCTGTTATCTTTTGGTGGCTAGCTACATCCGTGGAACCAAAAGGTTTTCCCTCTCATTGGTATCATCTAGATCTGACTGCCATTGCCTAATGTTCTCCATAAAATCCCTCTGCTCAATTTCCAACCATTTTACTTTGGACATTCCTGCATTCTTTCACAAGAGCATCAGAAGCCAGATTATCCAAGGCCAAATCCCTGGCCCATGTAACACAGCTTCTTGGCAATTGTTCTCCAGAGTGTTTGTTGAGCAAGGACCTTTCTCAGCCCTCTGTGTAGCTGGGTTCAACCTGGAACCTACTGCACGCAAAGCATCTGATTCACCCGTGAGCTATTACCCTCATTTTAAAAATAGCTAAACCTCATTCTATCTGGGCAACAAAGCTAATTTTATCTCCCTGTTGGGACTTTTCCAAAAGAGATTTTCAAGCCATTGAGAAGCCATTTCTGGCTGAAAGTTATGCAGATAAGCTCCAATTGCACCCATGAAAATTACGCACACCATTCAAGTTGTAACCTCAAAATCCTGCAGACATTTATAACATATATTCATTTTGAATTCACCCCGTCTTCTTCCATAGGAAGAAGACAGTGTGAGTATATGGAAAGAAGCAGATTATCCTGTTCTATGTGTGCTTCTGTGCAATGGTAGTCAGTGGGTTGATTGTAAGTCGCAAGGGATTCCCTATACTTCTTTTAAAAAAGAAAACAATAAATAACAAATAAATATACAGCTCTAGCAACATGGACAGGGATAGTTTACCCAGGTTTACGACTGGGGAAAATCCAGATCATAAGGAAGGCCCACCCTACCTCTAGGATTTTGAATTCCCTCTTTGCATTATGTTACTTAAAACAAAGGCAAAGAAGGCCACATGCTGAGGTTTACTTTATAAATACAACAGCACTGAAGGGAATGTTGAAAATAATAATAGTAACAATACCTTTAACAACATGAAACAACAACACCTGCCCACCCCAGGTTCTTGGGAAGGACATGATAGGATGATAAAAAAGCCAAATCCAATCTAAAAATCTGGCTGACTCTGCAACCAACCGTAGTAATAAACCACTAGAAGAGAAAAAAGCAAAGCCTTCTCCTATTTACTCTCCCATTTAAATGGAAAAGGTCAGATATATTAGACTGTAATCACAGGTTGGATTAGGAATTAAGAAAAGAAAAGCAACATGCATGTAGCCTAGTCCCCAATCGTCATTCCAGTAGAGTGAGGGGTAATATTTTTCCACTGATATCAACAAAAACAGTTTAAAGATCATAAATGAAGTCTTCAAGACAGGCACTTTTTCCAATAGGCTGTGATCTGGCAAATTCTGATTCTCATTGGTTTGCTGTGGTTTAATGGTGAGCCTTGGAATGACAACATTTTGATAATAAGCAGCACTTGGCAGTCTTTCTAGAAAATAAGCCCTGCCAACATCTCTTACAGATGGTTTCCTCTGAATGGCTGGGGAATGAAAGGAGAGATTTGGAAAACTACACTGGGAAAGGTCACCATTTGCATCAAGAGTCTCATGTTACTCCATCATGACAAAGGTCAACAAATTTCAGTAAAAAAAATTAAGAATACACATATACTCTGACACACATAAACCATCTCCTCCTAACTGGCTTAGTAGTGCAAAGAATGGCAAGAAAAGGAAGGAAGGAAGGAAGGAAGGAAGGAAGGAAGGAAGGAAGGAAGGAAGGAAGGAAGGAAGGAAGGAAGGAAGGAAGGAAGGAAGGAAGGAAGGAAGGAAGGAAGGGTCAACTTCACACAGTAGTGTTGTGAGCCAGGCAGACATGCCCATTGGGAGATGCTCTCAAGTAGCCCATGATTTCCTGTTTTCTGTATTCTTTTTACTTTTCTCAGTCCTTGGAAGTGATCCTCCTTCTGTCTTGGCTAAAGCAGTCAAAGAAGCCAAATTGGAGGCAGAGCCTGAGAATGTGCCGCTCCGCCGATGCTCAGTCCCGGTCACAGTTGTGCCCTGCAATTTCATTCCAGCACTCCGGCGCCTTGCAGAACCTGTAGCTCTTTTGACTCGACTTGGCTTCACAAGGAGCCCATATCCTGGATTGCATTTGAAGTACTGCCGGCCTCCAATTGAGCCATCATTTTTACCTTTGAGATAAAAGATTTTCTTTGAAAAGGGTTGTTTCATGAAGTCATAAAATAAATGCATTTGGCTAAGGATACTGCCCTGTGGATGCTGGGTAATGGGTAGTTCAATAAAATGTGTTCTCTGATGACATAGCACCCCATTTGGCTACACATCAGCACATAGAAGACCTTCCTAGTGGATCCGTGTATTACTTTCTCTACCACCAATGACACTTCTTGGGTTCCATAAAAATTACATAGGAAAGTAAGCCTCTCCTTCCTGCTAACTGAGATGGAAGTTGCATAAATTAATTCAGAGAAATGCTACAGTCCTATAATAAACATTTTATTTTATATGGCATATTTTCAGCATGTTGCGTATTCAGCATTTATTATCAAGATTTTCATCTTTATATGGAAGCTCAGAAGCCCCTGTCCTTTGGATTATCCTCCCCCAAAATGCAATGCAGGCCCCCCACTCTCCTGGTCTTTGGGAGGTGTTTGAAGACTCATATGGGGCTTGCAGAGAACTATGCAACCTTGGGTTTAGTTAGTGCCCCGAAGGCCCTCCCCCCCTTTAACTAATTATTCTACCCTTGACTTTCTTTTACTGATATAATATTTTATATGACTTTTCTGTTTTTAATTGTACACTACCTAGAGTTACTTTATTTATCTAAAACCTAATAAATAAATAAATGTATTCAATTATAGTATCATATGTTTTCAAGCTTTCTTTACAAATTTAACATACAAAGTTAACCCTGATGGAATTGCTCTTTCACAATCAGAGCTTCTGGTCATATGAAGCCGCCCACTTCTCTTAGCCTCTTCTGGCTACTATCACTAATTCATCAGGCACTTTCCACAACTGCAATCTTTGTTGTAAACTGAACCAGGCAAAGTGAAC